AAATGAAAGAAAATAAATATATTTGTATTTTTAACAATAAGGTCTATAATCATTACCTCTTGATATATAATTGGTGATTTAGGACCTTTGATGCTGAACGAACCTAACAGTGTTAGCTTTCTGTTCTGTCTATCGTTACCATGATTCAATTTCAGGCAGTTGATACCTTTTTTGCATTCAATGTTCCAGTTCACACTCTCCTACATTATGGTCATTCTATCATAACATTTAGTAATGTTTTTGGTTTGTAATACAGAATTCAATGTATATATAGTTCGTTCCACACTGTTTGTCATGAATATAGTTAGCATAACTTTCTGTTATGTTGTGCATCTTAATACTTCTCCTTCGTGGACACCTCTCAGAACAAGCACCTTTTGGCTTCTTGTCTCCTTTTCTACTTCCTCCAATTCATCCATTTGCTGAAAGTGGCATCCACTAAGAGATCTATACTATTGAAAGCCTTGGATAGTTTTCTCTCTTATCATCTCACTTTTGCTAAAACTGAGTGACATATAAAGAAGAAGTAGCATTGCTGATTTCTTAACTTTGTAATGACAAGTTATGGCTGTGTTGTTGCTTACATACGATGTTTAATTTAACAAGGTTTGTAGATTGCTGAGGATATCTGGTGTGTAACCAGAGAAGTAGAGGAAAGGAAAAAAGAGATGTGTTTGGACCCATTTGGTTTCTAAATATGTCCAATGATTCTCTGTTTCATGTACTCATATAGTGCTTGATTGATGTTTGCTTGATACATTTCGTACAAATGAACTAAAGCAACAGGGTGCTAAAACATCAAAGTGTTAGACGTCACTTTGACCATTTGCCAAACATGCACCAAACCCATATATACTCAAACATAAGCATATATCCTTTAATGAATGCGTACGGTTTTTTTAGGGCAATCCACTAAAATATGGTGATAATAATATGAAGCATCAGAATACCCGTGGAAAAAATAAAATAAAATAAAAAGTTGTACTCTACATTCAACGCTCACATTTCTATTTCAATTAAAAACCATGAAAGATTCACCTAGGGACCAATATAAATGTCATTTGCCCTGTTTGGTAATTTGAAGGTGATCTTAGTTTAAAAGGCAAGACATGAAAGCATTGCATCTTCAATGATTCTATATACAAAAGAAAAGAATTTGATAATATCATGACTCAATGATGCTGATCCTTTTAGAATTGACAACACTGTCATACTCATTACTACAGCAGCAAGTATCTTAATAAATATATGCTAAAATGTGATCTAATTCATGTTAATTCATCAATATACATTAAGGAGAGGGTTAATTGCGGATAGACCCCAACACTAAATCATGAAGTCTTCACCCCCAGCTTTTTCTGCAGGCCTCTTTGCTGGTTGTCCTCCATTTTTTTATTCCCTTTGTCACACCAAACCCTAGGTGTACACTGAAGGGGGATTTTCTTTTAGGCCTCTCTCCCTTCATTTTTAACTTCATCTTTTTTGGATCATTTTGATATCAAAATCGAGGTCGTAATTGTGAACGCATGTCAAATGATATTTGTTTCAGTGCTTTATGTGTTGATGTGTATTTGAATGTTAGGCTTAAGTTGACAGAGAAATTCTTGCATTACATCCAAAAAAGAAGAAGAAGAAGAACATGTTGTATGCATAGAACTATTCATGATGGATGGATTTACACTTTATACATAGTTAAATTGTACATTGTTCAAAATGAAGTGAGTTAACAACTAGCTCAACATAAGCAACTCCGGGCAAGTTCATTGATGTAATGAAAGTGAACCATGGTGAAAAATTAATGCAAGTGGGTTATTCCTTGACATATTTCAATACAAGTATTAGAATTTGTCCTTTTGGATCAACGTTTCAAATGTTTCATTTGTGTTTGCAGTTTAGCTTATCTTGCTTTAGGATTTTGTCCTTGTAGATCTTATAGCTTCATACCAATATATTCTTTATCTACCCTTCCAACGTCTTCTTTCTATGAATTATATTGTCATATCTCCTATTGTATGAGTTGGTGCCAAATGAAATGATTAATTCTCTCTCTCTCTCTCTCTCTCTCTCTCTCTCTCTCTCTCCTCCCCCCCACCCCCCTCTCTTGTGATGTCTGCTAAAATTGAGATCAAAGATTTTTTTTATAGCAATTACTAAATTTTATCTTTCATTCATAAATATTTAGCATAGCTGCATTAGTGCTTCCATTTGCTATTCATTTTTATGGGAAACTTGTGGATCTTGAAGTTGTAAAACTTTTTAATAATATTAATATGCCAAGAATGTACCATGAAAATAAATGTTATGTTAGATTAAAAGTTTAATATGTATTTTTGGACTTTGAATTTTGAACATATAATTAGTGTTAACCTTGCAATTGTCTCAATGTTATGGCTAATCTGTTTATTAATTGAAATGGATTGATAATTTCTCATAGGATGATAGTTGTCTTGGCTTTTATTTAAAAAAAATGCAATTCTTGTATGACTTCCACCTGGTTTAGTAATATACATAAACCTATGCTATAATACAGCGATTATGACAACAATAAATTGCACTATCATATGGGTGACTTTCTATTTCCAACTAATCGATTGTGATGGTTGCAATGAAAAGAAACTTTTGTTTCATCAGTAAACATAATTATGTAATAGTGTCTTTCTTAATGTTTTCTGAAGGCAATTATCCATTACGCTTCCTACATTGTGATTCGTGTTGAATCAACTTACATGGTAACAAGGACCCAAGACTCTTATCTTTTCAAACTCTAAATTAGTTGACATGTTGTGGAAGTCTTTGAACATATATCACATATATGCACGAAACTAACTCATTGATCTTTTATTGCAATCTATTTTATATGAGGAAGATATTGGAATTTAGAGATGCATTTCTGTGCTTTACTACCATATGGGTTCATGTTCCAACCTGTTATTTTGATTATGATGAGATTTTAGTCCTATCTTTCTTAGAACTTGCAAATATACTCTTACATGGTTAGGTTACATGGAAAATTGTCTTATATTCGAATGGTTTTACATGAATCGTCACATTTATCAAACTCTCTCTTTATGTGTTTCAGACACCAGAAATTTATTGCTTGTTAGTTGTCTGCAACGTGTTTTCCCCTACATGCTATTTCTGGTTCAATCTGGCAGAATGCAGAGGGACAATTATCTTTTCTGAGACATGCTGTGTCTGCACCACCTGATGTATTTACATTTGCACATTGTTCAAGGCACCTGGTAATTTTTGTTTAAGTGTCATATAATTTGCTTTTTATGATACATCTGGCTAATGTTTGACTGTTTTCTCAGACATACACAGATTCAACTAATCTTTATAATGGAGTTGGTAATCAGGCATGGTCCTGCATAGACCTTTTGGATGTATTATGCCAATTAGCTGAGAGTGGCCATGCACGCCCTGTCCGGTTAATTATTGAGCACCCTCTTAATCAATTTTCCAATGTTTTACATCTTGGAGTTGCTCAGATTAATGTAGGTGAACCTTTTTTCCTAGGGTTTAAGTTTTGTTTATCCATTTTACCTTTGCACTCCAGTTGATGCTGATAAAAAAAATTGCTTCATTTGTTTTTTCCAGTCTGCCTATAATCTCCTCCAGTACGAAGTATCTTCCGCTGTTTTCCCTATTTTTAAAAATTATCCTATGAAGAACAGCATTCTCCATCATTTATGGAAAGTTAATCCTAGCTTGCTCTTGCGTGGACTTTCAGATGCTGGAACAAATCCTAACAGCATTTTTAGAATTCTTGTCAATTGTCAGGAACAGAAGGTAAATCTTTTGGAGAGTTCATATCAGTGACTAATTTATGGTGCCAGACATATTTTTCCTCATTAGCATATTCCTATGAAGACTTACGTCCTAACTTTCTATTCATTTGTTCCAAACTTTTCGAGTAGTTACTCGCCCTGTGTCTCTTTTGTTGATACCACTGTTGAAGAAGTCTTATGGCTTAAATTTGTTAGTAGTTCATATGTTGTCATCACTATCTTGTGAATGCATATGCCTTACCTTGTTATCACTCATCTGTTGTCTTGGCTTTAGATTCAATGAATCAGTTTCTATTTATATGCAATTCACACGTTTTGTAGCACTGGAGTTCCCATTCTACCCGCAATATGTTGTCATTCACCAAAGATTTTATGGTGCAAGTATGCTGGCATACACATGCATAATCTGGATGAACGCGATGGTTACTGCTGTTTGTACATGTTGTGCATGCTTGATTATATGCACAAACATTTACATAAACATAACTCATAACCATCATGCCTTGCACTTCTATTTCAGTCCATAACTGTAACGGACTATTTAACGGTCATAGATTCATATATGCCTCTCATTTGTGGATTATGTTCAGCATTGTCCTAGGATCTGACCTCAGATATTCTAAGTGCAAGTCAGATGTTTTTGAAACATGAATGGAAATTTGTTTCTCAATTACAATTTTTACTATTCCAAGTGCTTAGACATAGGTAAACCCAACTTTTTGGAGTTCTCATGTTTAATACGGCTGTAAATGGCAGAGGTCTTTGGCATGCTGAAAATTGTTACCCGTCATTTTAAGACTTTTAGGTTGTTTCCAAAAGGTGTTAACATCCGGAGAATTCCATCCTACGCACTATAACACATTAGCATATAGTAGCTCTAAGGGTTCTATACGACTTATTGATTTGCGACAATCAGCACTGTGTGATAACCACTCAATGTTGTAAGTGATCTATTGTTTTTGCTTTCAACTTTTATACAGTGACATGTAATTGGGTGGACTTCTTGTTTCAATAAAAACTTACTGAATTGTTATTTTGAGTTGTTTGCTTCTTTGCTAATGTCATGGCTAATTGCATGTACTTCCAGGTTTAAGTAGCATGAAGCACCAGGTTCAAGATCTTTTCCCACTGAGATCATTGCGTCAATTTAAGATATTAAATTTGGAAAGGATGGAAGACACATTCTCAGTCGTGATTACATGCCTCTTAAGGTTATAGTTTTTTTTAGTCGTTTATCTTCAAGTTTTCAATTGTTTCTTTTTTGAGGATAATCAGCAATGAGCTTTTGATATCCATGTTACAATCCTTGTGCAATTTTGAGAATCAACTGTTTCCATTATTAAGTTTTTTTTTTAAATATGCTTGTAACTGATTTCAGCTATGGGATATAAGCATGCACAGTGGTCCAGTTGCAACATTCCAGGTCAATGAATATTTAAGGCCAAAGGGGAATACTATTGACAATTATGTATTTCATTCTAAATTTGTTAGTAACATTGGATGCTACACCTTTGAGTTTCTTCTTCTTTTTATTTTTCATTTTGATAATAAGTTGTAGTCTAATATATATATTTTATTGATTGTCTAATTTAAAACAGTTATGCGATCTGTATGAAAATGATTCAATTTTCAGCAAATTTGAATGCTATCTTAGTGGTGATTGACAACGGGTGGCCAATGATTCTTACATGTATTTGTTTCTTGTTAGCGCAAATTATCACATTGCTACAAAAAATTGGATTAATGAAGACATGCCTATTTCCATGGCACCAGCAATCTTTTCCGCATATTTGGTTGTTCTACTAGAAGCAACGAGACAAAAACTTTGTAAGCCAGTAAGAATCCTACGAGGTATAGTTGTGATCGATGATCATGGAAAATTTATTTTTATTCAATAGAAAGGAAAAAGATAAAGAAACAATAAATTCGGAAGCAACCAAACTTCGCGACCTAATGATAAATTACAGCATGGTTTAGACAACTCGACAATTCAATCTGTGCTTAAGGGGCTTGTTTCGCTTGACAAGCCATTCAATGAAAAGAACAGTGACAATCTTTTGAAGCAAAACAATAGGTTAACAAGACTTAAATTTGTTGATAATGATGCAAACTAGAAGAACGGAGGCACTATGGCTGATGCTAACAGAAAGAAATACAAGATAGTTATAGTGCAACAAGTGTACTATCACCCAATCAAGCACTAAATGAAAAATTATAGTTCAAATATAGAAACTTTAGTTTATGTCTTTGTGTTTGATAAATTGCTTACGTTCAATAATTTAATAAAAAAATATTTCCCAAAATTAATTTTAAAATTTTATAATAAATAATAAAAAAATTTACCACGTGCATTGCACGTGCAATAAAACTAGTCTTGAAAATATCAGTCTTATTGGTAAAGTGGGCCTAGGCTATGCTTTAACTAACCTAGATCATAAGTTCAGTCTTGTTGGATCTACAAAGGGTTACTCTATATTCCAACCAAAATAACCCTCTCTCTTTCTCTGAATCCATCCAGATCTCCCCCCTCTCAAAATCCTCAGCTGCTCGCTCTCTCGCCTCCCCAATCGAGCCGAGGATGAGGAGATGAAGCGAGGAGGAGCTCGAGGGCTCAGCGCCCGAGCAACGGAGGCAGCGGAAACGGCGAGCTCAGGCCCTCTTCTCTCCTTGCCCGAGCAACGAAGGTCGACAAAAGAAGGTAAAGGTTGAAACTTTGAACCTCTTCTTATCTTTTGAATGCTTCGATTCCGGCTGCTTCAGCTGATTATAATATTCACAAGGGTTATGATTCATAAGGTGAGATATTTTTGAGTTCTTTGATATACTTTGATGGGTACATGGGGAGCATCCGCTCTCTAAGATTTCCGTACACAGAGCTACAATGGCCCTTCACGATGCAGCTTAAATCAAGGCTTCTCCTAACCTTCTCGGTTTGAAGGTATCCTTCAAAGATTGCTGCTTTTCTTCTCTTTTTTGCCTTTAAACATTAGGGGATGTGCCTAAAAATTTTACAAAGTTGTTTCTATGGCTTATTAAGGTATTAACAATGTGATTATGATGATGATTAAAAGGCTTATTAAGCTACTTCTAAAAAAACATTAATATTGCTTGAAACATTAATCTACCACATGTTGGTTATTTTTGTAGTCTGTGATTCGATAGACAAAAATGACACTTCTTCTGTTTTTTTATCTTTGCTTTTCTTCAGTACTTCTGTCTGTGAGCCAGAGAGTGGAAGAGAGCAGCCTCCGTTACTCTGTACTTCCCCTATCAAGGTTGGTATTTTGAATTGTTGTTCTTTTGGTCCAGTCATCTCTAAGACTAGGCAAATTAAATTTTCTTTGAAGATAACAGTATTGAAGGTCACTCAAATTTAATTTGTGTAAAAGGTTTATTATTATTGAAACTTTCAATTGAAGATTGTATTTAATATACATGCAAATGGAAATATTATTAGTTCAAGAAAAATTACTTTA